GGCAGAAGACTGATTGGGTGAGTTGAAGTGTGAGGATCTTAGCAAGTGTCCTTTTCACCTCACTGTGTTCCTAGGTTAATTCTCCCTTTCTTCCAAGCCTTGATTTCCATCAATTTCATTGAGGCAATCATGAGAAGCTGTGGGAATGTGAGACAGGGTGATTGCAACTTTGTGTGTTCAATATCCAGTGTTTCCATGGCTACATCTTATTCTCAGGGTCTCAGTTGTGGCAACCATGAAGAAGTGGTCTCTTGTGCCTGTGATCTAAGGGACAGAAGGCCCAGTCTATTGACTCTTATTGTACCAGGTCCTCTACAGAGACCATGGTTTCTGCAGTTTGGTATGATTGCAAGTCAGACTCTGTAATGCCCCAAATCCCTTTGGTTGTTACTTTAGGGAACTCAGCCTTGACATGGAAGAAACTCTATTACAACTGCACTGCAATCTAAGACATGCCTCCTTCTCTGCCCTCAGAGAGATCATATCTGCATGTGTCCTGAGGGCTATCTCAGGTGCACCTTCACAAGGATATTCCTCCACTATACTTTGCCTGTCTTAGCCCATCATGGCCACATCCTGGAGGATAAAATCTAGTAAAATTCCAGGTTTGAAATTTTACATCAGAGTGTCCCCCCTTTCTTATTTCTGTCCCATTTTTATTTAGTAGCCACGTTATATTGGTTTCACCTTTTGGATAAATATGTCTCCCTACACCCTTTACTATCAATGCCAGCCTCACCTCTTTCCTCCTTGTTGTGACTCTTTGGGACACAAACTTCACCAGTCTGCTCAAGAGTGAATATTAATGCTAATGTTGACCAATGTGGTATGGTAGTAATGATGTGCCTGGGCCTGTATTTTTATATGGTTTCATCTATATGATGAGTCTGTCACATATAAATTATTTCCATTCAGATGATGAAAAACTGGAGCTTAAAGTGGTTTTCAAAAATTACTTAAATTTTTATGGTTAATCAGAGATAAACCTGGCTAGCTGGCTTCAAGGCTAAAGATAGTGGTAGGAGTAATTGCAGCAATATTTTTTTCTTTCTCTGTGTGTGGTATTTTGCCAAAAGGTTACTTGATTATTATATTAAGGCTTTACAAAGTACTAGGAAGCAAGTGAAGATTGTAATATAACCCAGCATCCTAGCATCAGAGGCTGAGGCAGGAGAATGGTGAATTTGAGGCAAGTCTGGGTTTTATAATGAGACAACATCCCCAAATAGTTCCCCAATCCTATTAGAAGGAGAAAACTAAAGATGAGGATGAAGTTGAACAAAACAGAGTCTATACTATCTGCAAAGAAATCATATGCACCAAAATTTGGTTCTTCAAATTTGATTAACAACATTAGCAACCTTTTCTCAGATTAAATTTGAAAAAATCAGATGGATATTAATATAATTTGAGACCTCACCATCCATTCTCAAGAATATGAAGAATTTCAAGAGCACTGTTGGGTGGCCTAGTTGCAATGGAAAAATTCCTACAAACATGGATTCTTTAGAGTTGGAATCGTGAAAGAAACAAAACCGAATAGCTGTAAAACCATTCGGACTGAATCAACAAGAATTGACACAGTTTCCCAAATTTTGATGATAAAAACACTGAAACATGATGGAAGTCCAGCTTGTGTAACAAAGACCATACATGGAAACCCCCAGCCAGCAGCATATTCACTGGGGAGACTGACAGCTTTCTTTCTAAGATCAGGAAGAAGACAGGATGCTGCTGTGACCACTTCTGTTCAAGAGACTCTTAGGAGTGCTACACAGAGTCATTAGGCTAGACAATGAAATGAAGGTGCCTAATTATAAGGTGCTAAAGATATCTGTAGATGACAGGAAATTTTTGATAGAAAATCCTTAACATACTACAGAAAGTTCTTACAACTAAATGAGCAAAACTAGTAAATTGGTTGGCTAATGAAATGAACAAGAACAAGTGAGCTTATTTCTATATACCACTATGGACCATGAACATTTTTATTTTCATTTTTCCTGGCAGCAGTGGAGCTTGAATCTAGGGCCTTTTGCATGCCCGGTAAGTGTTCAGCCCCTGAGCAATAGTCCGAGCTGTAACAGTGAACAATTGGAAAGGAAATGAAGAAAGTATTTATTTTTGAAAGCACCAAAAAGAATAAAATACTTAGAATAAACTCCACCTAGAAGATAAAAGACTTGCACTCAAAAAACTACCAAATAAGAGATGATGAAAGAAGACAAGAAATGACAGCCATTGGGGTCGATGGGTTGGAAGACTTAATCTCATTATCACTGTTGTTCTGCAGTACTGGGATTGAACCCAGGGCTTTGTGCATGGTAAGCAATGCACTACCACTGAGCTATACTCTAAGTTTTGCCTTCGAATTTTTATTTAGAAACAGGATGTCACTAAATTAATCAGGCTGGCCTTGAATGGGTTGTGGTAGGCACTTTTAGAACTTTGGTACTCCTGTCTCCACTTCTTTAGTGGCTGGAATTACAGGCATAAGCCAGCTTACCTGAAAGAATTCTTTTTAAATAGATGACAATATCCTTGAATGTAACTATAAGTTCAATGCACATCAGATCAAAACACCAGTGAAATTTTGCACAGCAATAGAAAAGTCCATTATAGCTGTTTTGGAACTAACTATGTAGATCAGGCTGGCCTCAAACTCCCAGAGATGCACCCGTCTCTCTGTGCTCCTAAGAGCTGGGGTTAGAGGCAAGCACCACCATACCTGGCCTTAAAAGTATCCTGAAATAAAAGAATAAAATTGCAGGACATCCTACATGATTTCAAAAATTTAGTACAAAGCTGCAACAATCAAAACAGTCTTCCACTGTCATAAAGGCAAACATACACATCAGTGAAATGTAATTGGAAAGCCCAGAGCTGTGCATGCACACTGGCTATGATTAAATTAAAGATTAGTTGAAGCAATCATATGTGAATTTATGTGACTCAGTTTTCCATATATATTATAATGTGTGTCAGATCTGAGCAGTTGGCATAACCACCAATTCATATCTGTCACTTGTTATATTTGTTAAAATACATTCATTTCTGCTGGCTCTTTTGAATTAATTGTTGTGAAACAGAGTTGTCCTATTGAGTTACAGAACTTGGAAGGCATTCTTGCTGTCCATCTGACCCTCTTTGACCAGATGTGTTTGGTTCAGGCTGCTAAGACTATACAATGTTGAAAGAAAAATCAGTGAAACAAGGGATGTTGGGAAGATGTAATATCCATGTAAAAGAATGAAGTTAAGACTTCACCTAACAACATGTACAAATGATCAAGTCATATACAATAATCAAAGACCTAAAATGCATCAGAGCTGAAAGTCATCAGACTCTTAGGAGACAGGATGAAAGCACCTTGAAATTGGATTTCAAATGATGTCTTTGTTATGATGCCAGATGCATCACATGGGCCTTTGGATGCTTATATGTCTCTACACCACACACATACTTTCTACATGAGAAGGATAAAAGAGGGTGTTGAATTCCTTAGAACTTCAGTTACAGACAGTATTAAGCTGCCATGTGGGTGCTGGGAATTGAACCACTCTCATTGGGAAGAGCTGCTAGAGCTCTTTACTATTGAGCTATCTCTCCATGTATTTTGTTTATGGGACTGGAGAGATAGCTCAATAGTTAAGAATCAAACACAAACACACACACACACACACACACACACACACACACACAAACACACACTACTGCTACTACTACTACTACTACTACTACTACTACTACTATTACTACTACTATGACTACTGCTACACACCACAAAAAAAACAGTTATCAGAAAAAATGAGTCTTGTTCAAGGTGTATGAGGATAAGGAACTCAGTATATGGGCCACCAAGATGGCTCAGTTGGGAAGAGTGCCTGACCTATTCCCTCCAAGTAACTAGCCCCAACTCCCACACAGATAGATATAAATGCACAAACAATGAGGGACAGTGAAATGTCTTAGCAGAATAAGGGCTTGCTTATCTACTTGAGTTAATTCCCTGTCCCCAAGAACTGGACCCCACAAATTGTCATCTGACCTCCATACACTAGGCATGGAACACCCATATAAAATGAATAAATAAGCAAGCCTAATAAGAAACTCAATACAGGTCATTTCTATCTATGGGTTTTATAATTGTGGATCAAAACCTTGGAAACAACCTACTTGGAAAAGTATGTCTACAATGGAAAATGTATTTTTCCTCCAGTCTTTGTCCTGTTCTCTACAGAAAAAAACTAGGGTCTATGCAGTATTCATATTAGATATTAAAAGTAATCTAAATTAATTTTGATTGTGTGGTATGGGGTGTAGAATGACATGAATATTTTACTAGATTCTGAGGTTGGTATGTGTGTGTATGACTCACACCCTAAACTCTTAATCACTTTGTATTTTTATTTGCTATATTGTCATCTATTGTTGTCATTATTGACCAGGTCTCACTGTGTAATCTGGAGTGGCCTTGTACTTCTTTTTTATTAAGATATTTTCTATTCATTTTACATACCAACCACAGATTCCCCAGTCCTGCCTCCTCCCACCCCAAAGCGTGCTCCTCCAATCTACCTCCAATTCCCACCTCCTCCAAGGCAAGGTCTCCTATGGGGAGTCAGCAGAGCCTGGTCCATTCAGTTGAGTGGCCTTGTACTTCTATGCCTCCTGCTTCATGCTCTGTCTTTTTTGAGTAGTGTCTCACTATGTAGTTCTGGCTAACCTGAAACTGGCTACAAAGATCATAGTTGTTGGTAACTCACAAAGTCCAACTGTCTCTGCCTCTGGTGTGCTGGGGTTAAAGGCATGCAGCACTGTGCTGACCTTGCTTGGTGTGTTATCATGAGATTAACATGCATCCATCAGCAAGCTGGCTGTATTTGTAACTTGAACAATGTTTTTCTCCCTGTGACTTTTACCCATTCTCCACTCTGATAATAAAGAAACTGTCTCCACCTACAACACTATGGAGTAAAAGGGAAACAGAGGTCACTCACCTATTATGTCCAGCTGGATGGGGTCACTTTTCTTGGAACCGAGTGGATTGGATACTTCACACTGATAGTCCCCAGAATCCTCCCTCCTGGCAGGGACTATTTGGAGGGTGCTGTTGTTCTCAGTCAGATTCATCCTATTTGTGATCCTCAGACTCTGGCCTTTGAAGAACCAATGAATGGAGATATTAATGTCGATTGACAGGCACTTCAGGAACACAGAGGTCAGATTTTTGTCTATGGTTTGGTTGACTTGGATGGAGGGTGTAGTCACTGGATCTGTGGATAAACAAGGGATGGGTACAGATGAGAATCTGTCAACTTCAGAAATCTCAGACAGCCCCCAAGGTCCATAGAATGAAGTGGTCCTCTGCAAGATCACATGTTTGGGTTGAAGATGTGGTCTGCAAGAAGAGAGCTGAATCTTACCCACCAAGATCACTCACAGAGACCCTGACTCAGGGTATCTGTGTAGATTTCACACTGGGAGGCTCTTCAACCCACCTGTCCACAAATCTCATTGTAGGGGGAATGTATTTCCCAATGATATTTGTGGGGATTCTTGTCCACACTTTCTGTGAGTGTGAATAGTCAGACCCCTCTTTTATTAAACAGCCTTCTGTTTCTTTTTAATTAAATAAGATGTCATGGGGCTAATCTTAACAGTGATAAAGGCTAGATCTCAGGACTGGGAGAAACCCCTAACTGAAGAATTTCTGTTTGTATAAAAATTTGTATTTCTTGCCCCATGGATTCGGATTAAATACTACAGAGAAGTAAGTGAATAGTCACAGTGCTGACCAGAGCCTGACACTATTCATCAGTACAGATATTTTTTGATACAGATAATTTTTGATACTCACTGTACAGTCCTATCTTGCTTGGAACTTGCTATGTAGACCAGGCTGACCTTAAACACACATTAGCTACCTGCCTCTCCCTACTAAGTGCTGGCATCAAAAGTGTGTGCCACCACACTCAGGCGACATTTATTTTTTGAGCCTTGAGAGAGTAAGCAAAAGAGCATCCTCAACTGTCAGTGACATGGTTCACCCTGACTCAGAACAGGGCTCCCAGGCACCTTCTCCACCATTCTTCAAATTCCATGGACTCAGAGCTGAGACAGGAGCAGACCTGAGTGCAGATTTCCTGTCACCATCGGTGGGGAATATTCTCATCCAATGTGGAGAATAAGGAAGTGAGCAGAGTTGAAAGGCCTGAGTGTCCCTTGTAGGTCATGAGGGTCATAAAATGAAAATGGAGGGGACAGGAAAGCTTGTGTTAGGTACAGAAAGAAATATTGATCTTGAGATTCTCCTAACCATGAAAAGTCCCTCACAGAACCTTAGGTTTTCCAAGACATGGATAACCTCCTCCTCACATTGCAGCTCCATCCCTATCAGCCAGAAATCAGAGAACCAGGAAGTCATTAGACATAGGGATGGAGCAGGAGGCTTGGGGGAAGACTGAGTTTTCCTTGTTCCCATAGACATGGGCTGGAAATTAAATGCTTCTGCACCTTCCCAGAAAGCCAAAAGACTTCAATCCAATCTTGCTGCTGATATTTCAGATTCACTTCACTTACTAAGAACTGTAATTTTCTTCACCCTGGAAGGGTAAATCCTGGTCTGTAGAAGGACATAGTATCTCTTTGAGCTGTGCTATAACCTAATTGTGCAGATTTCACCCAGAGCTGGGGAGGAAATTAGTAGAAGAGTACTTATTCAGCATCACATGCCCTGATCTATCTCAAGAACTGTAATTTTCTTCACTATTGACTCCAGGGAAAACGTTATAGATGAGGCAGGAATAGGAACCGCTATTATTAGTATTGGTGTTGTGGATGAAGACTTCTTGGTAGGATTACATGAGCTTTCTCCATTGACAGGCCAAGAGGAATGTGGGGGTGGGTTAGCATCTGTGTGGCAGGAGATTTATGGATTTTCCTTGAATGGAAAAAATATTGGAGGGGAATACGATCAGGACACCTGGACCATCTGGAGCAAACAGAACAAAGCCACAGGTGATGTCAGCAGATGGAAGGGTAAATCCTGGTCTGTAGAAGGACATAGTATCTCTTTGAGCTGTGCTATAACCTAATTGAGCAGATTTCACCCAGAGCTGGAGAGATTAGTAGAAGAGTACCCATTCAGCATCACAAGCCCTGATCTATCTCAAGCACAACACCCACACATCAACATTGCACGCTCATGTTTACACTGACCCCGAGTCTGACATGTCCCCTGTCTCCATCACCCTGAGCTTCTCTAGGCAGAAGTCCCTGGAGTCCATTCAGGCTCAATGGTGGGCCTGTCCACATATGCTTGGACTGGCTCAGGATGCCCTGGCAGCCTAGGGTATCTGTATATTAGGTCTGTTTCGTGAACCCAAGAGAACTGGGACTAAGCATGGTAGTTCTAGCCCTCTGTATTTAGGCAGTTGGGACCACAAATAAACAGAAAATTCTTACAGGTAATGTTCAGAGAGAATGGGTCAATTTTGGAGTCCCTCACTTGGTTCCAGGTTCACATTCACAGGGACCTATGTCAGTCCTCACAACACTGAGTAAAGTGAGAGTCCTGTTGTCCTTAGAGAGCTTCAGCCTGTCCTCTGCTCAGAGGGTTTGTTCATTTATCCTCCACAGGTAGGCTGTATTTTGAGTCATAGGCTCACACATTAATGCTACTGAGTCATCACCGTCCAAGGGATTGGAATTGTTGGTTGTGATGTTGGGCTTGGGTAGCAGTGCTGTGCTGACCACAGAGAGATGTTTGCCCTGTGTTTTACTTCTGGTTCTTGCAAAGGCCTCTTACAACTAGAGATAGTTTCTTAACTCCCAGCTGACCCAAATCCTTAAGGAATCAGGCAGGAACCAAGTTAAAGGCAGATGGAGTGGCTGAGTACTCAGAGATAATGGGGCCTCCTGTGCTGTGTATTGGAATAGCCAGGACTTTCTCATGAGTGAACTGGGCTGCAGTGTTTGGTGATGCTCAGTCTCAAGACTTGGAATCACAGTTCTCATTTTATTTTCTGGTCCTCACTGACCCATTGCTGCCATGAGACACAAGGTTCAGATCCCTCCAGCTACACTGACCTCTCCTGCTTTTTGTAGACCGGAGCCCTCCCAGCCTTTTCTGTTCAGGGCCGTCCTACAGATAGGTTATGATTAGCCTTCCCATTGAGCTTCCCTGAGAAACCTGACTGCCTGTTTGAGATCTCACAGAGCTTAGGATCTGCCTGACATTTAGGTCATGCTGGGTCACAGGTAGACTATTCTTGTCAGGTGTTTGATGTTGATTGACATGAATCCGGGAGCCGTATAAGAATCCTGAGTCTATAAAATGATCTAGAAGAGTTAAGGCCACCTAGTAAATCTTTATGGTGGAGGCCTGGAGATGTGGTTGTGGACAGATAGCTTGTGATACTGATGGCCTATGTGACCCTGACTCAATGACTGTGTTTTCTGTCTAAGATTCCCTATAATAAGAAACATGGTAAATGATCATTGTTAGGCCTGCAAGTTAACCTGAAATGTGAACAATGATCTGACCTTCCAACATGCAGTGTCTATTACTATTTTCCTAGAGGAAATAATTACTGAACTGCGGTGTGCATGCAGAACACTGCATAATAAATATAAATAAATAAATAAATAAATAAATAAATATAAAATGAGGCTAAACAGATTGTGGGAAAGAAACACCAAGGAGCTTCAGTAACATGATGTAAATTACACATAGGAAAGAGGAGCAGGTTAGTAATAACCCATAGAGAATTGTAGTCAATGGCCATGCATATTTCAGAGTAGCCAAGACAAATTTCCAATGTCTCACCATAACACATGGGAAATAAAATTGTATTGGGTGTTAAATAGTTGACCTAATTATTCTGTCTTGTACACAGACATCAAAGATCACACTCTTTCTCAAGACTACTTACAATTTGAAGGTAACTGAAAGCACTATTAACAAGTAATAAACCATGGATCAAGAAAGTGGAGAGATCATTTTCAAGTGCCAGAGAATGTTATGTTTTGTACATCTGAACATGGGCCAAAATATATAAAGAACTCTCACAGTTCAACAATAGTAACAATAAAAACCACAAGCAGCTCAATCCAAAGAGAAGGAAAAGACCTGACATTTCTTTGAAAGAGAGAGGAACAGATGACCATAAAGATATGCTGCTTAGTTTTTGTCTATTTGACAGGCTAAAATGACATGGGAAGAGAAAACCTCAGTTGAGGAATCACCTCCACCACAATGGCCAGCAAGGTATTTTCTTAATTACTGTTTGGTGGAGGAGGACCTGGTGCTATCCCCTTGCAGATAGCCCCTTTCTTATGGGCTCTGTAAGAAAAGTAGCTGAGCAAGTTGTGGGAGCAAGCCAGGAAGCTTTCCCCATGGTTCTTGCCTGCACTTCCCTCAATGACAGACCCTGATCAAGACATTTAAGCCAAATAAACCCCTAACTGCCAAGTAAGTTTGGGTTGTGGCATTTCACCACAGTAACTGAAAACTATGGGAGCCGGAGGTGGTGGCGCATGACTTTAATCCCAGCACTTGGGTGGCAGAGGCAGGCAGATTTCTGAGAGTTCATGGCCAGCCTGTTTGACAGAGTGAAATCCAGGACTGGCACCAATACTACACAGAGAAACCCTATTTCAAAAAATACTTCAATTAAAAAAAGAAGAAGAAGAAGAGAAATGCAATGGAGTGATGCTTAGTGGCACATGACATTAAACCCAGCACTCAGAAGGCAGAGGCAGGTGGATCTCTGTGAGTTCCATGCCAGACTGGTCTACAAAGTGAGTTCCAAGACAAACAGGGATACACAGAGAAACCCTATGTCAAAAAAACCAAAAATGTAAAAAAGAAAAAAGAAATGCTTAGGGGCCAGGCATGGTGGTGCACACCTTCGATTTCACTACTCTAGGAATTATAGGCTGGCCAGCAGGAGTATATAGCGAGACCCTGTTTCACAACCAAAAAACCAAAATTTGTGTAACACCAGCAGTCGTTCTAAAAATACACATGATTGGCCAACCTAAACTATACATTCTTAAGGATAATCATATATAAATTATAAGCTATTAAAGATAGTTATTAGGATACAAGTTAAAGCTTAATCATCTGATAAATCATCAAATTCTCTATACAAAACTATGTTTAGAAACATGATAAATATGCTGAATATTAACACAATAAATTCCTTACTTCACCCATGACATTAAAAAAATTTAAGCTTCCCACTTTTAACTATTCCATGCCTCTTACTCC